ATACCAGAAATAAAAATGATATCAAATTGAACAAGCCCAAACACTCCTATTACAAAAAATCTCCCATCAATGCAGGCTGCCGTTTTTTTAACTGTCTTCCGAACGAAATAAAATACGCGGGATCCCCGGCGGTTTTTAAGTATAGACTTAGGGAACTCCTTATCAGAGAATGTTTCTATACTGTTGAGGAATTTGAATTATACTTTTCAATTTTGAGATGATATCGAAGTGTATTTTACATAGTCTATGTTAGTCATCATCGTGCTTGTTTCGTCCTGTTTGTCAATTAAAACTTAATGACACTGTTTTTGACTTATCCTATATATTGTTAACAATAGTTGAAAGGATTAATAAATATTTTATTCATTTATTCATTTATTCATTTGTGGATCTTAAAAAAAAAGGATATAATCGCTTCAACACAGCACCAAATGGTTCCAGGTCGTTGACTCTGTAAAGCAGTGAAATGACAAAAATAATACATCGTGGTGGGGCATTTCAGCTACTTATGAATGAAGGTAACCATGTCCAGAAATCATCTGGTTTAGGGAAGCGGGTTTTTGGAAATGATATCTTTAAAATATGAAAGCCTCATTGAAAATGGAGCAAGTGTTTTCTCTGGAGAATTGGTAGAAATGAAGAAATTCGACACCTTCCAAGTCGCAATGACGCGTTTGCTGCTTCATCGACAAAAATTGGTTAATCCTATAGAATTTTTAGCATTCACTTCACTGAAACTGTTAACACTTTGAGTTCTTGAACATTTTTTATTTTCTATTTTCTGAGACATAAATACAAAGTTACTGTTTCTAGACAAGCTTTCCTTAATATGCACAAGATGCTCAAAAATGATGGATCGATATTCCTGAACATTTTGGAGCACACTACTATAGATGAACCAATGGATAAGATGCTGAAAATTCCTGAATGGAAGAATTTCGGATTTATTTCAATATTGTAACTTTTTCAGTGCTTGTGAAAAAAATTGTTTTACAAATTTTATGTATCCCATTTAAGAGGCTGTATCTTAACAAGGGATGCTCCAATGGAGTTTCTTTATAGGAAAGATCCTATCTTTTTTTTGATGAGGAATCACTTCTTCAAATGTTTCACATTCATTCAGTTACACCCTGTATTCACGTTTAGAAGAAAGAAAAATTCATGTCATCTGGAACAAAACGTATCGTTTGACCTCCAAAAGTTTTCTGTTGTAAAAAAACTATCGAATGAAGAACTGATAAGCAGAGTTCATGTTTGAATAAGTAAATAGTACCTGGGCCAACGGACAAATTACACAGCAATCGAACAAAGAATTGAAAATTTATTAAACAAATTTTAGTTGAAATGAAATGATGTCGTAACTGAAAAATGGTGTCGAAGCTAATAAGGTACAACCAAGTTTCGAGATAGAAAGTCAAATCTTATCAAGAATCTTTCAACAGAAACTTCCGAACTTTGACAATTGATAACGGCCATCTTTTTGGAGCTATATCTGTCAAATTAATTGTCATTCATTCTGTGTGTTTTGCCGAATCACCATGGATGATAATACCATTCAACATGCTGTGGAAAATGATACTGGTTTGCTTATAGAATGATCGAGTTAGGGGTATATTATACTTATCAAGCCTAATCAATCCTATCAACTCTTTATATTTGCAGAAGAAAGAATGATTTGAAAAGTAAGAATTTAAATTGGCTGCGTGTCTGTTGACCAATAAAACTGATCGTGTCTAGAGCGGACTTGCCAAGTGTATTGGTTTTTAATATCCAATCACAGATCTGATGATCCAATTTGACAGACGCCATTTTTGTTGTTATTGTTATCAACTCGGTGTGAATACAACTGTTACAATTATCTAATTAAAGAAGGTTTTTTTGTAAAAGGTAGGTCTCGGCGGGTGCCTATTTTGTTGCATATTCCGTGTCATTAGTTTACATTCCGAAAAATATTTTTTCAGGTTATTTTTGGATTGATATGTTCTGGAGTAATTCTACATTTCACTGTACATATTTTTGCTTCTCTTTTCAGTCACCATACTGCTCCTTGGCCGAGATAAAATAAAAATTAAATCAAAACTTTCCATCCTCCGATAAAAGACAAAGTCTGAAATGAATGTCATA